ATTATATATAATTTTATTAATTTATACATATGTACATAAAAGTATTAATTATATATGATTTTATTAAATTATATTTAATTATAGTAAGGTATACATATAATTTATTACATTAAAATGTAGTAATACTAATATATATATAATATTATATTTAATATTCATAATATTGTAATGAAACATATTATATATGATATATACTACAACTTGTGATATAGGACAATATATTACATAATACTAATTGTATATACTAGTAGTGTGTTATATAACATTATATATATATATATATAAGAATATATACATATATATATATATATACATGATTTTATTAAATTATATATAATTGTACTAAATTATATATAATTTTATTAAATTATACATATATAATTTATTATATTATATCATAATGTAGTAATACTAATGCATTATATATAATAATATTAATAACATTGTAATATAATATATTTTACTATATATACTACAATCTATGATATAGTAAAAATATTACAATATAATTGGTATAGTACAACATAGCAATATTTTAAACTGATATTGTACTATGCTAATAATATAATATATTGTATGTATATATACCTTGTAAGCCGCTCTGAGTCCCCTTCGGGGTGAGAAGGGCGGCATAGAAATGTCGTAAATAAGTAAATAAATAAATAGTACAATATATTATGTAATATTAATTGTATAATATACTGGTAGTGTGTTATATAGTATGTGTATGTATGTATGTGTGTATGTATGTATATGTGTGTGTGTGTGTGTGTGTGTGTGTGTGTATATATATATATATATTAAGGGAGATATACATTACTTAATTAAATATATATATATTTATATAATTTTATTCAATCATACATATAATTTCTTACATTGGCTAATGAGACAGGATTGTTGTTGTTGTGTGCTTTCGTTTCAGACTTATGTTGACCCTGAGTACCCAGAATAGTATGGATCTATGGGCAAGTATTCATTGGAGAGAGTGGCAGGGAAGAGAGCAGCAAGAGCATGTGGTTAAACTGTGCGCGGAGGACCCTGTCTCTGGTGCGCAATGCTTGGGCTCTCATGTTGCACACCTGGGCCAATGGCATTCCCCGCAGGGAAGCAAACACACCCACCCACCCACCAGTGGGTAATCCGATGCGCCTTAATTCCCAGCATTTAAATCATTAGCTTTCAGGCTTTCCCGATGTCTAAAGGGAGCTGGGGTTTTCGCAGCACGAACCCATTAAGGCTTTGCTAATGCACGGTTTGATTTCATTGCCTGCAATTGAGCACATGGCTCCCCGGCCTTTGGGGACCACAACCAATCAGGCAGGCAAAGCTCTCCAGGCATCTAGACGGCCGGAAAACGGTCTCCAAAAAGCCCCGGCATCAGAGGTTGGTTTCCTGTGACCAGTTCTTGAAAAGATCTCCCAATTATGTATTTTGGACAGATTTGGAGCCTTGTTAAAAAAAAAAAAGGAAAGGTTCTTAAAATGGTTCGTGTGTTATTCATCATGGACCCTCCCTTACTTACTTACTTACTTACTTACTTACTTACTTACTTAGGCGATCCCTCATAGTCCAAGGATGATGGTCCTCCAAGGTCAGTGTTCTGGTGATGGGTCCGTAGGTGACTGTGGAGCCCTATTCTTGACCTGCATCTTCTCCCACTGTGAGGACACTGGTTTCCAGGTGGAGGGCGGTCCCGGTCGGGCTTCGCTTGATGCACCTTCCTCTTGGCATGTTTCTTTCTTTCGCCCTCCATTCGTGCCTCTTCAAACTCTACAGCACTGCTGGTCACAGCTGACCTCCAGCTGGAGCGCTCAAGAGCCAGGGCTTCCCAGTTCTCAGTGTCTATGCCAGAGTTTTTAAGGTTGGCTTTGAGCCCATCTTTAAATCTCTTTTCCTGTCCACCAACATTCGTTTTCCGTTCTTGAGTTCGGAGTAGAGCAACTGCTTTGGGAGACGGTGGTCGGGCATCCGAACAACAGTTGGAAGAGACCTCATGGGCCATCCAGTCCAACCCCCTGCCAAGAAGCAGGAAATTGCATTCAAAGCACCCCTGACAGATGGCCATCCAGCCTCTGTTTCAAAAGCTCCAAAGAAGGAGCCTCCACCACACTCCGGCAGAGAGTTCCACTGCTGAACAGCTCTCACAGTCAGAAGTTCTTCCTCAATGTTCAGGGAATCTCTTTTTGTAGTTTGAAGTCATTCTTCCATTTGCGTCCTAGTCTCCAGGGAAGCAAAAAACAAGCTTGCTCCCTCCTCCCTGTGGCTTCCTCTCACATACTTATACATGGCTATCATATCTCCTCTCAGCCTTCTCCAGGCTAAACATGCCCAGCTCCTTAAGCCGCTCCTCATAGGGCTTGTTCTCCAGGCCCTTGATCATTTTAGTCGCCCTCCTCTGGACACATTCCAGCTTGTCAATATCTCTCTTGAATTGTGGTGCCCAGAATTGGACACAATATTCCAGGTGTGGTCTAACCAGAGCAGAATAGACATGGGGAGCATGACTTCCCTAGATCTAGACACTAGGCTCCTCTTGATGCAGGCCAAAATCCCATTGGCTTTTTTTGCCGCCACATCACATTGTTGGCTCATGTTTAACTTGTTGTCCACGAGGACTCCAAGATCTTTTTCACACGTACTGCTCTCGAGCCAGGCGTCCCCCATGGTCAGGCATTCGGACAATGTGGCCGGTCCAGCGGAACTGATGGCGGCAGAGGACCATTGCTTCAATGCTGGTGGTCTTTGCTTCTTCCAGCACGCTGGCATTTGTCCGCTTGTCTTCCCAAGAGATTTGCAGGATTTTTTGGAGGAAGCGCTGATGGAATCGTTCCAGGAGTTGCATGTGACGTCTGTAGACAGTCCACGTTTCGCAGGCACATAGCAGGGTTGGGAGGACAATAGCTTTATAAACAAGCACCTTGGTCTCACTACGGATGTCCTCAAACCCTCTTCTCAGTTACACACATGCTAAGTCACAGAGCTCAAGCAGTGTTTTATTTGGTGTCAATGTTGATGTCTGTAGACAGTCCACGTCTCGCAGCCGTATAGCAAGGTTGGGAGGACAATAGCTTTATAAACAAGCACCTTGGTCTCCCTACGGATGTCCCGGTCCTTAAACACTCTCTGTTTCATTCGGAAAAATGCTGCAGTCACAGAACTCAAGCAGTGTTGTATTTTGGTGTCAATGTTGATGTCTGTAGACAGTCCACGTTTCGCAGGTGTATAGCAGGGTTGGGAGGATACTTTGTTTTCTCCTCTTCCTCGTCGGAAAAGTGTTTTCCACCCAGGTGTTCCTTCAATTTAGAGAACAGGTGATAGTCACTGGGTGCGAGATTGATCGGGGCTACGAGAGGGATGGCTTAAAACATCCCCACCAAAGGAAGTCAACCACTCTTGTGTTGCACGAACAGTGTGTGGACGTGCATTGCCATGAAGGAGACAGGCTCCCACCATCAGCATCCTACTACATTTGTTTTGGATGACTTCGTGAAGTTCCTTCATAGTCTCACAATATATTCCGTACCCATTTTGTCACATGCAGCCTTGACATTACGTCCTCTCCTTAAACTGAAGCAATTTCATGATGAATCACAGCGGTGTTCATGCCCTTCGCATTTAGGTAGCGTACTACAGCGCAAACTTCGCACTTGGAGGGAAACCAAATGGGGACACTCACCTCTAAGCTTCACCACAACGCCAGTCAATGAGCGACTGACGACTGGCACTGCTCGTTCGCTTCCGCTGGCTTCTCGCTACACAGCAGTGATACCAACTTTCCCCGAGAAAATTCCCCACAAGAGCTACATGCCTTGTAACCTTACTTTCTGGATATCCCTCAGACAGTGTGAACTTCACAGTTGGAGGGAAACCGAATTAGGATGCTCACCTCTAACCTTCACCACAACACCAGTCAATGAGCTACTGACGACTGGCACTGCTCGTTCGCTTCTGTTGGCTTCCCGCTACATGGCAGTGATACCAACTTTCCCCTGGAAAATTCCCCGCAAGAGCTTTGTACCTTGTAACCTTACTTTCTGGATATCCCTCATACAGTGCAAACTTCACACTTGGAAACCGAATGAGGACGCTCACCTCTAACCTTCACCACAA